GCTGGCTCAAGAGAGCCAGCGTGTGTCTGCCTGGAAGGGCCAGCTGCAGGGCCCCCCAGGGATCCATGAGAAAAAGGCCAGGGAGGAAATGTGGTGAGCCACAGAGGCACTGAGGCGTGCTGAGAATTCTCATTGCTGCCCTCGTGAACTCACTATTTTGAATCTTCTCATGCACCAGGCTCAGCTCACAACAGGACACAGGCTGCCCCAAAGATTTAATTAGAGGGACATGGAATTAACACTGAAAATCTGTCTTCGTTTTCCAGGAGAACACCAGCTACCTGTCATCAGTCTGAGTGTGGTTTCTACACGGACTGGGCTCTGCCACATTCCAAGCCTTCATTACTCTCCACCAGGCCTCCTAATTGAATCCATGCTCCAAACCTCCCTTCCCTCCTATATATGTGTGAAAACTCACTCAGGGCTGCCATTTTCAACACAACTGCTCTAAAGGATCCCTGTGTTCTTACTGTAAAGACTCACCACACGAGGCAGTGTTTAGGTTCCCTGCACTGCAGGCCTATCCTAAAACCCACCCAGCCCCATCTCTACCCACGCAGAGCCCCATGGGAGCACCCCTGCTGTGGCCTGGCCTAGAACTCTACTAATTCCAGAAGATGCTGGCTCATTGCAAAGGTCAAGTCTGTTTAATGACCTTCCCGACCTGGAATATCTGCTCTATGTCTCCATCTATTAAAAGTAACTTGTTCAACTCTTGAGACTCAGCTGCAGCCAGACTTCCTTTATGAGACCTGATGCCCACAGCTTTCTCTTCTGAGTTCAGTGTTTAAAATAGTCACTTGGGGGCGCTTGGGTGGCTCAGTCGTTAAGCGTCTGCCTTCGGCTCAGGTCATGATCCCAGAGTCCTGGGATCGAGTCCCACATCAGGCTCCCTGCTCGGCCAGGAGCCTGCTTCTCCCTCTCCCACTCCCCCTGCTTGAGTTCCTGCTCTCGCTGTCTCTGTCAAATAAATAAATAAAATCTTTAAAAAATAAAAATAAAAATAAAATAAATAAAATAAAATAGTCACTTGGGCCACTTGATTTTATGATGTTACAGAGTTTGTGTCTTTTCTTTTCAACAGGATTTTGAACTTCTTAAGGATGGCAACCATGCTTTTGTTACTCAATGGAGCATTTCAATAAATACTCATTGACTTATATTGTCTTGTTTGCTTCCACTGGAGGCAAAACAAGAATGTCTTAAATATTAATTGTGGTAGGTCTAATTGAGATGATATAAAAAAGAATGCACTGAGCACTGAGAATTATAGATAGTTGAGGCTACAGACATTTCTTTTAAGACAGACATTAGAACATCCATCACATGGGCATTATAATTACCCAAGTGTCATGGAACAAGCCTTAGCTTTGAGAATTTTATTGTTATAGGGGTTGTATCATTCCCCTCCCTGTAACAGAAAGGATTTCAGCTGGCTAGGAAGTAAAGTCTAATAATATTTAATTTGTTATTACTTTGTTTGCTAAACCCCACATTGCCAATGCCTCCCAATTAAGAGATATGCCAGATTTTCCTTAAAATAGATTTATGTTATAAAAGGAATCATTTTTACCAGTCCATGTGATCTTCAGGACGATCCTAATAAATATGAGAAATTATAATCATACAGAAATATATATATTTTTGGGCGCCTGGGTGGCTCAGTTGGTTAAGCGACTGCCTTCGGCTCAGGTCATGATCCTGGAGTCCCGGGATCGAGTCCCGCATCGGGCTCCCTGCTCGGCAGGGAGTCTGCTTCTCCCTCTGACCTTCCTCCCTCTCATGTACTCGCTCTCTCTCATTCTCTCTCTCTCAAATAAATAAATAAAATCTTTAAAAAAAAAAAAAAAGAAATATATATATTTTTAAAAAAGCACTCAAGCCAAAGAAAAAATTCATTCCAGAAAAAAGTTATGTCAGGAAAATGTCAAGAAGCAGCTAAGTCTACAAAAATACTTCATGAAAACACTCATATGATGCGTCCTTAATAGAAAATGTTTAACTGGCTATAGTCTCTATTAAAGAAGATGGTTTTATTTTGCTGATTTTCTGACATAAAAACTTAGTGAAACATTTTATGTTAAGAATGACTAGCTTTAAATCTGCCTTAGCAAACAGATTTGAGTAAAAGATAACATGTCTTTTAAGAATACACTTTTTGAACATTTAGTATGTGGAAGTCAAACAAATTTTCCCTTTGGTTTTAGATCTTTGCATAGATGAAAACCCTGCTGCCTTGGGATTCTCATTACAACCCTAGCCAGTGTGTGCAGAAGGACGGGGCTCGGCTCCCACCTCAGACAGAGGTCCAAACTCTGAAGGAGGAAGTGAGAGCACGGGACAGGGAGGGCCTCTCCTGGCTCGTGAACCACACCGTAGAAAGGGTATACCCTTCCTTGAATTCTTCTGCCACTGGCAAAAAGGAAGGAAACCAGATTCAGACGGCACTGAAAAATTAATTCAACCCTTCTCCGTGATGGGTTGGAAAGCCTGAAGCCAAGACAACATTCAAGTTATAAATGACAACTAATCCCATCCTGTAGCTCGAACAGCCTCGGGCTTACAGTGAAGTCTTTAGGGGACAAGTGAGGAAAGAGAAGTGAGAAATTGGGAGAAATGTACAGATGTGTGTCTTCAGAAGCACCAAGGAAAGCTCTTCGCTTTTGGTATGATAAGTAATGTAAATCCTGATAACGTAACACAGACTTATTTTTGTTTTAAAAACACAGTTGCGCTTTCCTCTCTACCCCAAATCTACGTGGACACAAGCCTTAGAATGTGGGCTGCGTCCTTCTCCTGCCATCCGGTGGAGCGCCTGCTCAGGTGACTGCTGGAGTTGTCACTGAAGCTGCAGAAACCTGAGGCCTGAAGCCTCAACCATGGTCTCATTAATACAGATTAGATGTTGACAATACATGAAATGAATTGATTCATTTTCCATAAACGATCTACGTAACAAAGAGGGAGAGGTGGGTGGTCAAGCACTGCCAGCTTTGGAGATGCTACGTTGGTGCACAGGGTGATGGGACGGCCACAGACCTTCTCGTCCACCCAGGGTTCTTTACCAGTAAACGTAACGAGTCATCTGCTACATCTTTCAGTCGTATAATAGTCCTCAGAAAAGAAATATTTTAGCACCACTAAGTCTGATCTTTACAGCTCTAACGTAACTCAAGGGGTTGTCTTGAGAGCACGGGGTTCGGAGTCAGCCAGGCTGTACGTGAGCTAGGAGATGCGGGGCAGCTACGCCTTACAGCTCTCACTGTAAATGCGGGTAGGGATGCTTTTCTTGCAGGCTACTCTGCTGGGGTGTAGGTGCATGAAAGTCAATTTATAAATGATGGCAATTATTATTACTGTGATGATTAAAAAAAAACCGAAGGCAGCCCGTTATATGTTGACATTCTCTATGGGGGGATCATCATCATCATCATCAACACTGAAAACAAGTCGTAAACACAGACTATCTTGTCCTCTGGTTTGCAGCTGGTTTAGGTCAGGTTGTCCAAATCTACTTTTTCTAAACTCTGACTGATGCAGTGAAGTATTAACACAATGTATTGAGCATCAGATGCTTTTACAGTTCTGAGTTTTACAAATATATAGAAGATGGAACAAAAATATCTGTCACCTATAATACATTCCATTGTCCTACAATGGGCACATAAATCTCAAGGCTTAATCATACTCCTGCCTGCCGTGAGCTTTGAAGATGCAGAACTGCTTGAAAAAATAAGAGAATAATTCCTCCTTAGTGGAAAACATCTGAGTTTATATTTAAAATATGCTTTAAATGAAAAATTCCTATGGATACTTCATTTTTACCACAGTGGCTCATCTTAAGTTTCTTTGAACTTGATTTGTCTACTCATCTCACAGAAACTGTTAATCTCATGTTGCTGCATATCTACATACATCTCTCCTTTGTCTGAAGGCCAAATGAAATTATTTTCTCCATGTTTGTTTTCCAAAGAGATGCCCATGTTCTACTTAAACTTAGTAGAAAGCAGATGGACACAGTTGTAAACATCCATGTTGCTGGTTCATGCTCTCCTATTAAACAATACTTTTCAGCAATTCCTGCTGCTTGTTTAAATTCAGGAAAATGAGGATGCCTCCCTCAAATATTCATAGACAATCCATACAACACCAGCCACAGCATTTCCAGAGCCCCTCCCCTTTCCAAAGGATTGTGAAAGAAGCCCCAGAGGGGTGGAGGAGGGGACGAGGAAGGAGGAATGGAACAAGAAGGCTGGAGGTGGGGGAGGGGAGAGGAGGAGGGGACGGGGGAGGATGGGAGAGAAACAGAAAGCCATCCCTGCCTCTCATTCCTAGTTCAGCAGCCCTTCTCCATGTGTCTGACTCAACAAATGGCTTCAGCAAACTTTAACCAGTGTCTTTTGCTGCCTCTGAACTCCAGAGTTGAGCTCCTGATAATGCATCCCTGTGCTGTGTGTGAGTATAGCTACCCAACACTGAAAGCCTTATAAAATCATGCATGCTCTCATGTCTGTCCTTCCCACACACAGGTTTGGGTCCCAAATCATGCATTTTTGAGAGACCGGATGAGCTTAGGGGTGCCACTCTATTATGTAGATAACCAGAACACTGTGGGAGTCCTGGGGCTATCCCCCCCACTCGCCACCCCTGTACCTGGGAGGGCCACAGCTGATTACAGGGCAGGGGGGTGGGGAGATAGTCCTGCCCTGCAGGACCTCAAGGGGAAACCTCGGCAACCAGAACAGGAGATAAGTGGCTTTGTTCTAGGATGGGGGGCTTCACAAATGGGCAAGTAACCAGATTCATGGGACCCCCTAGAAGCTGGATACAGTTAGCCAGGGAGGAGCCAGGGAGGCCCTACAACAACAGGGGACTTCATGGTCAGAATTAAGCTGCCCCATTTCCTGCCCTTAATTCTATGAATTAAGCAACTACTCAGGGTTCTACCCTTTCTTTGTTCTGAGTATTTCTCATTAAAAGAAAATGAAAGAATAATCTTACCCATGAGGAATTTTGCTCAGGACATAATATCCAGTGTAGGAGTGTTGGTATATCTGAAACAGACAAGACAAAAAAAGAAAGAAAGAAAGAAAAAAGCAAGCATTGAGACAAAGGCTGTGACCATGATATTTTTCAAATCACTGTGCATCCTAAAAAACATCAGTGGAGGAAAAGTAGTTAATCAGGAGACCTGGAGGCAAAGTCTTTCACTTACTTAGAAAGTTAATTTGCATATCCTGTTTATTTTACTTTCTTCATTTGCACATTGTTTACTGGGCAGAGGCTTGATATCGACCCCATAGATGGCTGATTTGTGATTAAATCGGGGGCACAGATTTCCAGCTCAAGGACATGTAGCACAGGACGAATGAAGAGGTCACCAGAGGCTGTCAGTCAGCTAGACCCAGCACACCAGAAGAACCATGTACTGTGGGAGTTCCCTGTAAATTATGGCAAATTCCATTGTGCATCCTCAGTGAATACTGAAACCAAGACAGGCTTAACTGGGCAAACTCCTGTCCTTCTGTACAAAGTGATGTGCATCTTTTAGCTTCAGAGAGTGGTCAATAAACTAAGAACTCATTACAAGAGGGAGTGTGGCTTTTAAAACTAAGGTAACAAAAAACAGTGTTTCCAAACTCCTATAACCCCCAACCTGAAGCTTCTCTTAAAATCTTGAGCTAGGAGATGATTCTCTAACCCATAAATGCAATGACTAGAATGCAAGGGATGACCACAAATGGGGAGAACATGCAGTTCAAGAATTCTTGGCATCCTTCACCTCCAGCTTTCTGGATAGAGACCCTCCCCAGAGCTGGAATGTGATGGATTATCTTCAGGGTTGAAGCAAGAACATACCGCACTTCTCTTTCTTCCACGCGTGTAACTTCTGAGAGTCAAAAACCTGTGTGGGGACATGTTCAGTGACCAGCATTTAAAACCACCTTCCTAAAGGTAATGGGTGAGGCCAAGGGAGATAGGTCCAGTGTGAAGCATGTGGGATAGAGGAATGCACTGGGGTGTGGATGATGGAGTGAGCCTGAGAAAGAGAACAGGCAGGACCCTGCTAAACTCACTGACTCCCCGCCTCGTTGGGGCCCCTGGATTAACTTAGAGATAATCAGAGTGGATCACAGTTACTGGAGAAAAAGAATCCAGATATAAAAGTAAACAGCAGCCCTCAAGTCCCAAAGTTCTTTTGCTTCCGAAGATCCTGAGACTTCTGCACCAGAAATATGGGGCCTGGGGGGGCCTGTGGGAGGGAGGTGGGTAGGCATCTAATGAGGAAATTTGTCCAAATACTGCTTTCCTTATGAGTAAATAGCCAGTAAGCCAAAGAATCTGAAGGAGAATTTCCAGACCTGCCCCTGCAATCTGAGAAGGAGCACACAAACCCACTCTGCTGTTTCTGACGTGATGCCTGGTACTGCTTCCCCAGGAGAAGGGAGGGCCGATCCTGAGTAGATTCCTGGTCACAGAGCACCCACCTGAGGACCCTGTGCTTTGACTAAACTGCCTCTGGGATGGACCAGCTCCCTCAGATGCAAGAACAGAAACTCAGCAGACACACCACCTTTGTCCGAGGTCAGGGCACATGGTGCTGTTACACGGTGTGCTTAAACTCTCCTCCAAAGCCACCTGTTCATCCTGTTCATCTCACTCTAGTTTCATGATAACCCAAGCAGGCAAAAGGTGACCTTTGTTTGCTAAAATAGGAAAGTGAGGTACAGCAAGGGCAGAGGAGAGAGGAAAAGGAAGGAGAGCGGAGGAATGGAGGCAAGAAGGAGGAGGGGGAAGGGAAGAAGGGGTGGTGCCTAATTCCAAGGGACTTGATCGAATAGAATGTGGCAGAAATCATGGTGTGAGACTTCTGAGATCGGGTTGTAAAAGGTGTTGTGGCTTCTTGCTGGCTTTCCTTTGGATCACTGCTCTGGGGAAAGACAGCCGCCATGCTGTGAGGACACCTAAGCAGCCCTAAGGAGATGTCCATGTGGTGAGCCACCAAGGTTCCTCCCCAGCAGATCGCCAACAGCCCACAAGGAGCTGAGGCGTCTTGCCCACAACCACATGAGGGAGCTTGGATGCACAAAGTCTTCATCCCTAGTTGAACCTTCAGATGATGTAGCCCCGGCTGACACTGACAGACCACGAGCCAGAGACACTCAGATAAGATGGTCTTGAATCCCTGACCCACAGTAATTTTAAGATAAGAAGTGTTGGTTGTCTTAAGCTGTTAAGTTTTGTGTAGTTTCTTATACAGCAATAGGTAAATGGTATATCTAGTCTAAATCCAGAGGGAAAAAGGTACCTATTATATCAAATGCGGACAGACTCTTAAGTTACTGGACTCCCTCCCTATAAACCTCCAGCCACTTCTAAAACAAACAGATAAACAAATTCCTTATATCAAAACAGTTTCAGTACAGAAGTGAGGTGCTGGGAAGGCCACTCATAGACCAAAAACCCTGAGGGAAGTCTTTGAAGTGGCTGTAGAGAACATTCATGGTGATGCCAATGAAGCTGAGGGTATAAGCGGCGAGCTTTCATGGAGGTGAGGGGTGCCAGCTCCTCAGCATCCAGGAACTCACTCAATGCAGGTATTAGCATCCTATTCTGAAGATAGGAAAATTGAATCCTAAGGAATTCAAATTAAGTTCAAGCAAGATTTGATCTGAAGTCTCTCTCTCTCCAATCACTACACTGGAAATTGCCTGAACAAAGGGCATATCTCTTAACTCAAGTTACAAGTCCAAGTTGATTGCTGTCAACCGAAAAATCCAGGATACCAACAGATAAAACAATTATGCAAAATTTTGCAGTTGAAAGAATATTTCTTTAATCCCTCTGGAAGCAGTGATTTCAATTCATCTTCTGGTTATGCCATTCCTAACAGACACGTAGAAGTTGATCTTAGCACTCCTCTTTAAACATACCACTAAATAACTCTGAAATTCAGCCCTGGGAGTATCTTCTGACTGCAGCCAATGAGAAAAAGAAGACCGAATTAAAATAATCTTATATGGGCAAGGGTAAGAAGATGGGAGAACTACCCATTCTCCATTCTATGTGTGTAATATGGGGCAAAAAGGAAAAAAAAAATATGGATGGAAAATGTTGTGAAATATCTGGAAAACTGAATCACTAATTAGAAAGATTCCAACAAAAATGGGACAGAGTCAAAAAGAGACAGGGAGACCTGAGATGCTGGATCTGCCAAGGATGTATATGAAAGAAGCCTTCCGGAGTGAACAGTTGATGCAAATGGGACCCTTAGAAATGAAAGTGCACTTAGGATTTATGTGTTACTCTTTAAAAATTAGCAAAGGGAGAAGGTGATGTAACAGTCTTCTCTTTGCTCCAAGATGGAACTATCAAACAGCATTCTCTTCCACAAAATATCCTCTCAACCCAGAGCCAAAAGAACCACAGGCATAAAAGAGACTACTCTTTAAAGAGCAAATGCCTTATCTTGAAAGGAATTTAAAAAAAAAAGCTACATCTCCTTGAAAGAATTTGTTCCTCAGAAAGATAAAGCTTCCCCCCCACCCCCACCCCCGTCTCCATCTGTTGTATTTGTGTTTCTTTCTTTAAAATAGTCTCTAAATACTTTTTTTTTTAAAGATTTTATTTATTTATTTGACAGAGAAAGTGAGAGAGCACAGGCGGGGGGCGGGCAGTAGAGGGAGAAGAAGAAGCAGGCTCCCCAATGAGCAGGGAGCCCGATATGGGACTCAATCCTAGGACCCTGGGATCATGACCTGAGCCAACCATCTGAGCCACCCAGGTGCCCCTGAATACTTCTGATCATGGGGAAAAAAGTACAGAGTTGGAAGTTAGTAAGACTGCATTCAGTTATTTTTCTAAGAGTGCACTTTTAGAAGTTCACAGATTTGAGTTACTTTGGTTTCTTCTTCACAAATTTCTCTTGGAAAATTAATATATAAAGACTTGTTACCCAAAACACCATTCACAAGATGGGAAAGCAATTTCAGCAAATTTTCTTTCTAATATATCATGAAAAATAGTTGCTATTGGCATTCAATAATTGGAATAAAAATAACCAGTCAGAAGTCTGTCATGGGGTGAGTTCACATTTGGTTTGCTTCTTCTATTTCTGAAACATCTGCCCACACTTCTTATCTTCTCTCCTCCTCTGCTCCCACGGAGCCATACTTTTTATTTGTCTATGGTCTTCACTACCTCAGCCTCATCATACACACTCATGCCCCACCATACACACTCATGCCCCGCTCTGCACACTCATGCAGACTCATTTTGTATCTTCTTCTTCTTCGATGAAATCATCCACTCCTGTAGTTTTAAACCAGATTTCCACCTAGACATCCCTACCTCATGCCTCATAAGCACCAAAAACTCAATAGTCTCCAAAATAAACTCTTCAACAATCCTAAAAACCCAGTTCTCCTTTGATATTTCCTATCTGAGTTGGTGCTTTCATCACTCAGTATACTGAGCTAAAATCAAAGTTCTCCTTGACTCCATTCTTTGCCTCCCTTGACTTCCTGCCCCAGGTCAATCCATCCTCCAATGGCACTGAATTAACTTCTTTAGTCCTCTTCTAATCCACCACCCAGTCTTCACCTCTATGGCCTCACTGCAGATCTCCCCTCCAACTTTTCTCTCCTGCAGAAAGAAGCTACCAGATCCCTTTCCAAGATCAACCCCTGAGGTCTCCACGCCACTCCCTTCTGCTCCTTGGTGAACCTCATGACTCTTGCCTTATAGGTTTTGTAAAAGACCCTGCCTTACATGTTTCCCCACTCCCTGTCCCTAACTACCTCTCCCAAATTTGTAAAATAGAACTCAAATCTCCCCTAAAGGATGGTGGAGGAGTAGGGGACCCTATTCCAACCAGTCCCTTGAACTGAGCTGGATATCTACCAGACCACTCTGAACACCCACAAAATCAGCCTGAGTTGTAAGAAGATATATCTGGATCTCTATGGTGGTTGGTTTCGAGGTATGAAGCAGGGAGCTGTGATTTTGGGAGGGAGACTTCGGGATCCTGCACCGCTGGAGCACAAAAGTCTCC